TATAGATTATTAAATTAATCTTTTAAAAATATTATTTTAAAATTAAAAAAAATATGAATTCTGTTATTTTATATTTTCCTCTTTCAAAGTTTATTTATTTAAGTACTGAATTTTCGATTGATTTAATAATTTTATTGAAAATAATATAATATAAGTCAATACGTATTATTTATAAGGAAAGTTTTATAAATAAATAAATAAAATGTAAAAAAATACGTGTATATCCTTCAATTATTTTAAAAGCTACAAACCGTTATATTTAGCAATTGTGTTTACTTGATTGGTTATAACCGCGATTTACTCCGCCCACTTTTCTGTATTGACCAATAATTGCTAAGGAAGTGTTTAAATTTAAACAGACACCAACTTTTTTATATTTGACGCACCAAAGTTTTTATTTTAATTGCCTTTTTCAAGTATTATAAACAAATTTTGATATATCTTCGTCCCTAAATAACTCTTGCATTGTAAAACACCAATAAATGATCATTAAATGATCTTATTATAAATATTAAATGGATTATTTCGTTGTTTCACTGATACTGAAATTCGAAATACACGATATTTTTGCTGAGTAAAATGGCATTATCAAGTTTAAGTAAGTAAACATTAAGTTTTCTTGTTTGAAAATCACTATTAATTGTGAGTATCAAACTGCAAAACTTACGTGTGTTCAGATCCCACCTCAGTTTTGCGCCACACTCGATTTAGTGAGAATTTCAGAGGAAAACAAATGGTGGCGTTACGTCGAAGTTTGAGTGTATTATTTTCCTGAAATGATACTTTTATTTTATTGATTTATTCTTCTTTTACTTACTGAAAAGTATGATTAATTTTATGCTATTTAAAGAATTTCTAATTAATTTCTTTCTTTTTTTTACAGAATAATAACAAAAATCACAAAACAGCTTAATTATATTATTTAATTTATAAGATTCTCTAGATAATTTTTTTTTTGCTTTTTAAATAAAATCTTTTTTAAACTATATTTTTTACCCTCTCGGCTGTTATATATAACAGAAGGATATTATGGTAATGGATGAAAAATGACCCCATCTAAAGATTTTTTTTCAGTTTTAGACTTGGGAGGACCTTGAAACGACGAAAAATTCAAAAAACTTGGTTTTTTTTTTCTGACTGTATAGATGTTAGTGTGTGGGGGCACGATTGTATTCACCTACTTTGAAGATTAATAACTCTCGTACCTTTAGTTGAAAATTTCTAAAATTTTGCAGGGAGTTTTGTGTATTAGGGAGAAATGTTTCTGGAAATTTTCAACAAAATCGGATTAATGGTTCGGAAAATATGGCCCAACTTTTTTAATAGCTCCCGAACCAATCTGATGACTTAAGGGTAATGGTAGCAATCATTAGAGGTGAAAACAAACAAAGACTGGCGGCAAAATTCATCAACAACGTCGATGGCATTTTGTTTATTTTAAAACTTATCATGAATATTTGTTTAATTTAGTTTTTAATTAGTTAATTAACGCTAACATTCTTAATGAACGTAATAAAGAAAACAGGACTTTTTTTCAATTTGTGAAAAATAAATTACGTTTTTTAACTTTTCCATCTTTTGTACATTTGTTGAACAAATTTAATTATTAAATTTTGCTGATGGAGATGCTGCTCATGTAAGAAAACCATTCGTTATAGAAGTTCCTTATAAATTTATTTAAATATATACGTTCAATATTGTAAAAAAACGGAAAAAGCAAGTGAGAGATGCAGCTATAGAGCAGGATATCGTCCTAAATATTTCAAATTCAACGTAAATTTATTCCCTTTGTAACCACTCATGTTTTATAAAATGTGAACTATTTGTATCTCACAGCTTTAAAATATATCTTTTTTGTCCCAAATACTTCTTTATATATTTACAGTGTTCTTTCATTCCTATTCTTTTGTAACAGATAAGATATTCCCCTAACAAATTCTTATTCTCATTTTGCATTGTTAAATTCGGCTAACGCCCACTGAATACGATAACAAGATTAATTTTCACTTTCCCGTATGATACATAACAGAGGAAAAGTGTGACGATCGGTAAAAAAATGACCCTCCACCGAAGATTGGGACCACTTGTAAATTGAGGAGACCTTGAAAGACCTTGAAACGTCAACAAATGCAAAAAAGTTTGAGTTTTTCTATACCTATCAATGTTACTATGTGCGTGGGCACACGATTTTGTTTATCCAAGTTGAAGCTTAATAACTCACGTCCTTTTTGTCGAAAATTTCTGAAATTTTGCAGAGAGATTTGCATATTAGGGTGGTTGATACTGTTAAATTTTGGTGATTAAAGGTCCAATAGTTATAGGGGAATAGAGGGGATCATGTGTATGGTGTCTGGAGTGGGGTTGAACTTAAGGACGATTTTACTCGTTTAAAATTGTTTATAAAATCCATCTCTAGTTTTAAAATTAAGATTTCTGTCATTTATAATAATTAACAATATTAAAAGCTTTAAAAAATATTTTAATTATTGCCGGGAAAGTTACACAAATCGTTGTCGGATTTTTTAAATTCAAATTATAATTACTTTTACCTTTTTATAATTAAATCTTTCGTTATTATATATTTTAGAAAATTAATTTAAAAATATTTACAAAAAATTATCGAATGTAATAAATTTGTTCGATGATAAATAATGAATTACAAACTTATAAATAATTAAATTTTCTATTCAGTTAATTGGATAGTAGTGTGATTAGTTCCGCCCACATTTATCACTCCAGCCAATGAACGTAAAGAAAACTCTGAAACTTTAAAGGATCGTAGCTTTTTCACTAATACGGGACATAAATACTTTATATCAAGAAATTTTAACGATTTTAGCATAATTTTCTCTGAAATCTTTCGCTTTTATGTAACTCTTCTATGCGGCTTATAATAATACGTTCGATCTCAAAATTTAATCGATCGATATTCATAAAACGTTGCTATTTTCCATTAATTTCAACGAGGAGTCTAAAAAATGTAATGGGGGCCAATTTAAATAGCTTTATACATTCAGTATAAAGCTATTTAAATACACAATATTGAATATTTTAATGGCATTTAATGATATTTTACTAATAGTAATTATGCATTTCGAGGAATTTTAAGTATTTTATTTTATGTATCTTTTCTCCATCAAAAATTACTTTCTGTTTATTAATTAATGAATTAATTTAGAGTATACTTATCTTTATGAAAGTAAATATTTGATAAAAGATAACTTAATGCAACTTAATTTAAACCAAATTACCTGAAGCTATTATTTTAAATGGAATGTTATTATATAAGTTGGTGTAATGTCGTTTTGTTTGGCATTAAACTTTTGTAGAATAATCTATAAATAATTTAAAATTATTAACTGCTCTTGGAGTATTTTAATTAACATATTAATTTACTCATTTCTATGAAATTAAAGCTTTAAATTTTAGAAAATCAGGATAACATTATAAGGCACTAATTTAGAAAAAAAAGTAAGTAATGCCGAGGATTTTTAAGATTTACATGGTATTATTTTAAACACAGTTGAAGATAATTTATGATACTCAAGACAGACATAAACATAAGCTTAATCTTTAGTAAATTCTTCATTAACAGAAGCAGAAATTATATAAAATGAGATTACAACTAAGTCCTCGTTGTAACTATACCATGAGCAATTTTCGCTTAACTCTTACTTTGTGTTAAAGTTTCAGTTTAAATTAACATCACCCTTAATCTTCTATACATTATAAACAGAATTCTGTCATCCATATTCATTTCTACACCTAACTACAACAGCTTAAGTTGTTCATTGAGCTTTGAACTTGGTTAAATAGATTTATTTTCTTGTCGAGAATGGTCAGAATCTCTCTGGAGGAAATGATTTTAATAAGTTAAAACATTATTTAAATGGTCGAAATTGTTATAACAATAAGGATAACAATGCATTTTAATGATAATTGAGTATTAAATAAGCGTTAGAAAGATCCTTACTTGCACTATCTTCGAAAAACGTATCGAATCAAATATTAGCTAATTTCTCACAAAATTTAAAGAATTTCTTCGAGTTTTTAAGAAATTCACTTGCACGTAGCGGCAGAATACTTATAAACATGTTAAAAATAACAATACTTTATAAGGTTTCTTAATTAAAATCTATATGTGTTGCTAGAGGCTGGCTAAATCAGATGGGCGCATGTAATTTTCTCAGAATTAAAATGAAATTAATGCAAATTTTCAATTCTTTTTCCTAGAAAATAAATAACTAAATATTGTTAAATAATGAAAATTAATTACCCTCATAAGAAATAATTAATAATTTAGAAAACAAATGTAATTTTACAGACAATTTTGATATTTTCTTTCTTTATTTCAAAATAAATTTCTAGTTTAATTAACTTCATATTTTATAAGAGAATTTATTTTGTCCTCTTGAGTCAACAACTATCTGGAAACTGGGTAATCACTAGAGAAAAACTCATTGTAAATTGGAAGAAAGCAATTAAAACAATTATTTTTCTTATTTAATAATATATTAAGTTGTATAGAATTTTTTAAAAAAATTTAAATATCTGATAAAACTACATTCTTTTTAAAATTTCAATCTAGAAATTAATTAAACTAATTATTAGTGAAGTAGAAGGAAAATCAATTACAGTACAAGAAAACTCTAAAATTGATTGAAAAATAAGAAATAATGCCTTCAAAATGCCTAAATATCCAAAAATTTTATAAATATTAGTGTTTTATTTTTTGAAATTTAAAAAATTACTTTTAAAATTATTAAAATAATAATAAAATTAATTTTTTTTCAGAATCTCCAGTGAAAATGCTTGTTTTTCTTTTTCCTTTCTCCTTTCTTCGTCTCTCATTCTTTCTTCTTCTTCTGCTCTCCATCTTTTTCTTCTTCTTTCTTTCTTTTATCATTATCATATTCTCCTTCTTTCTTTCTTTCTTTTCTTCTTCTTCTATCCAACTTCCTTATCATCTTCTTCTTTTTTATCTTTCCTTTCTTCTTCTTCTATCCAACTTCCTTATCATCTTCTTCTTTTTTATCTTTCCTTTCTTCTTCTTCTATCCAACTTTCTTCATCATCTTCTTCTTCTTTTTCATCTTTCCTTTCTTCTTCTTCTATCCAACTTTCTTCATCATCTTCTTCTTTTTCATTTTTCCTTTCTTCTTCTTCTATCCAACTTTCTTCATCATCTTCTTCTTTTTCATTTTTCCTTTCTTCTTCTTCTATCCAACTTTCTTCATCGTCTTCTTCTTCTTTTTCATCTTTCCTTTCTTCTTCTTCTATCTAACTTTCTTCATCGTCTTTTTCTTCTTTTTCATCTTTCCTTTCTTCTTCTTCTTCTTATTCTTCTTCTTCTTCTTTTCTTCATTCCTTCTTTATTTTTCATCATCTCTTTTCTCAGACATCTCACAAATCTTAAATATATTTTTTCATAATTTTTCAAAACTTAAAAATTACTTTAAACTATTCAAAACATCAAAAAATATATTTAAAACAATTCCCCCTTTTTGCAAATCCCCTTTTCATATTTCAAAATCCTCTTTCAAATGAAGGTCGTGACTATTAATAAAAGAGTTTCAATCAATTCTCTGAATACCCTTTTAAAAATAAGAAAACAAAATTTACTTAATTTTCATATAAAATTTTAAATAAATATTTATTTAAATTTACTAAAAATAAGATAGGAATATAATTTTATTTTCAAATACCTAAATGNAAAAAAAAAGGAATTAATTTAAAATAAAATTAATTTATTTTTGAATTTATTTAGAAAAAATAGAAATTATTCATTATTATCTACTGTAAACAATTTATGAAGAAATATATACATTTAAACTAATTAAAATTCTTATTTTAATATTCTAATAGCTATAAAGTAATCGATTAATCGGAAAAAATCGATTATTATTGTAATATTTACTAAGTTGTTTATCGTTGTAAACGCTGAAAAATTTCAATTTTTATTAATCGATTAAACATACTTTTGTACAATCGATTAATTGATCGATTTATTAATCGATTAATCGATTAAACACACTTTTGTATAATCGATTAATTGATCGATTTTATTAATCGATTAATCGAAAAAATAGATTTTTCTATTATTTATTAATTTTATTGTTGTAAAATACTCAAAATTTTTAAAACTTTTTAATATAAAAAAATATATTTAAATTACGTAAAATATATATATATATAAAATTTCGGCTCCAATACACTTTAAAAATTAAAAAAAATTATTATTAATTGTGTTAAAAAGGGGCCAAGATAACGTATAATACGTTATAACAATGGCTAAAAATCCCACGATATTAATTATAAATGTAACTTTCATTAAAATTCATTAAATAATAACAAAGCTAATTATATGTGCTTCACTTTAGAGGTTTATAAGAGAAATCAAGAATTGTTTATCCAAATAAATCTCCAATTAAATATTAATGATTACAAAGAAAATAATAATGTCATGTAAGTTAATTACCCCACAGTTTGAAGTTACCACAAAGGCAATAATGATAATTTTATTCATTAAATTAATACAAAATCGTAAGAATTTTACGATTTATTAATGTAATTGTTGATATTTTTATTAAAATAAATTTCGTCGTCTATTTATGTTGTTATAATTAATTATAATTACTAAATTAGAATTTATGTACGGCCAATTAAATATTTAATGCCTAAACTTTAATGTCCATCAATGATCGTGTGGATGAAACCACGATGGTTGTTGGTCGCGGGTTCGCACCTGACTAATAGATTACAAGCGTGGAGTTTCTTGGGGTTTTTTCACGTGCCTAACACCTAAATATTAGCATTTCCACATAGAATGTCCCCTGGCAGATCGCCCACATGTATTGCATGACCCATCAAACCAAAGACTCTGGTTAATTGGATTCACGGTTAATGGAATTTCTGTTATATTTAAACTGAATTTACTCATATTTATATGAAACACATACTATATTTATGTATATATAGTCTTAAAATTTTAGAAGAGGTCCAGCGGGACCGTAAGCTCAGGCCTCGAACCCTTCGCTACAAACGAGGGGTTGGAGCTCTCGTTTGTAGCAAACTTGTGTCATATCTTAACTCTTCCAGTCTATATTTTACCTTAGCAGAGGCAGTAATAATGGATGACCTACTAGCAGCAGCAGCAGCAATAATAGTACTAACAGTAGTAGTATTACAGGCAGCTATAATAATAATACTATCAGAAGAAGTAGTAGTATTAAAGCAGCAGTAATAGTATTCTCAGCAATAGTAACAGTAGTAATAGTAGGAATAATAATAATAATAGCATAACAGATATTATTCAGAGATGTTATTATTACGAGTGAAGGTGAAAGTTTATATAATATAATGAGATTCAATGTTAAGGAGCCTTCTTACCTAGACCTTGTGGATTTAATTAGAGAAGCGACCTCCAGACAGGGGATATGCAGATATTTTTATACTCCTGTGAGATTTGATAAGTCCTGGTTAACTTTGAATTGCCTTAATATAAAAAGGTGCTGTATATAATAAAGTATTGAGGGAATTTAGGATAAAAGAGATGCGTCAAGCGTCACTTAAGAATATTTTATAATTATAGAAGTGGCTTTACAACGTTATATAATGATAAATAAAATGTAAGTTTTGTTATAAACTACATTTAAAATTATTAAATATTAGAGAGATTCTGGTGAATTTTGCAAATTAGTACTATAATAAATTTATTTATTTATTTATTTATTATTACAGAATTAAGGAGGCTGTCTATTATTGAATTAGACTTAGCCTCATAGAATAGAAAGTTATGAAGTAAAGGATTAAGTTGTAAAAATGAAGATGTTGAGAGTATTTTTAGAGGATAGTAGATAGAAGAAAAGGAATAAGGTAGAAAGTTAAGTGGGTTAAGGAGAAGGTGGGTTGGCCTTAGAGTGACCGCATCGCAAATGATAGATAAATACGTATTATGTTACAATATCAACAACGCAGTGTTGAAAACAATATAATCCCGACAATTCATTTAACACAGTACTATAATAAATGCGGCACTAAAAATGAAACACCTCAAACAATAGAAATTATATACTATAAATTAAGTCAACACCCAAGTTTAACTTTAAAAGTTCGGTAGTCACATGATTTATGCTGTAATAATGTCACTTACATTGCAAAATAGTGCTGTATATTTTAATAATTCGCATACACTAAGGGTTTTCTTGAGTTGAGTACACTATTTAGGGGGGCGCTACATCGAGGTTTGACAGTATAATTGTGTATTGCTGTAAAGATTACTGCGAAGGATCCAACAATACTGCAAAGGACACGTTTTAAGTAAGAATTCTGTACAAATAGCTTAATTACAATTAAATTAACGACTTTTTCAGTGTTTTTTGTACAGATAATTAACCACAATATTGTGAAAAATTCCTAATTTAATTACATTTAAATTAACTTTAATTACAGCGTTATTTCATGTGTTAAACAATGTTATTAAACAAATTTAAGAAAATTTAATTATTTATTTTTATTAATTAACAAAAAAAAAAGGAATTAATTTAAAATAAAATTAATTTATTTTTGAATTTATTTAGAAAAAATAGAAATTATTCATTATTATCTACTGTAAACAATTTATGAAGAAATATATACATTTAAACTAATTAAAATTCTTATTTTAATATTCTAATAGCTATAAAGTAATCGATTAATCGGAAAAAATCGATTATTATTGTAATATTTACTAAGTTGTTTATCGTTGTAAACGCTGAAAAATTTCAATTTTTATTAATCGATTAAACATACTTTTGTACAATCGATTAATTGATCGATTTATTAATCGATTAATCGATTAAACACACTTTTGTATAATCGATTAATTGATCGATTTTATTAATCGATTAATCGAAAAAATAGATTTTTCTATTATTTATTAATTTTATTGTTGTAAAATACTCAAAATTTTTAAAACTTTTTAATATAAAAAAATATATTTAAATTACGTAAAATATATATATATATATATATATAAAATTTCGGCTCCAATACACTTTAAAAATTAAAAAAAATTATTATTAATTGTGTTAAAAAGGGGCCAAGATAACGTATAATACGTTATAACAATGGCTAAAAATCCCACGATATTAATTATAAATGTAACTTTCATTAAAATTCATTAAATAATAACAAAGCTAATTATATGTGCTTCACTTTAGAGGTTTATAAGAGAAATCAAGAATTGTTTATCCAAATAAATCTCCAATTAAATATTAATGATTACAAAGAAAATAATAATGTCATGTAAGTTAATTACCCCACAGTTTGAAGTTACCACAAAGGCAATAATGATAATTTTATTCATTAAATTAATACAAAATCGTAAGAATTTTACGATTTATTAATGTAATTGTTGATATTTTTATTAAAATAAATTTCGTCGTCTATTTATGTTGTTATAATTAATTATAATTACTAAATTAGAATTTATGTACGGCCAATTAAATATTTAATGCCTAAACTTTAATGTCCATCAATGATCGTGTGGATGAAACCACGATGGTTGTTGGTCGCGGGTTCGCACCTGACTAATAGATTACAAGCGTGGAGTTTCTTGGGGTTTTTTCACGTGCCTAACACCTAAATATTAGCATTTCCACATAGAATGTCCCCTGGCAGATCGCCCACATGTATTGCATGACCCATCAAACCAAAGACTCTGGTTAATTGGATTCACGGTTAATGGAATTTCTGTTATATTTAAACTGAATTTACTCATATTTATATGAAACACATACTATATTTATGTATATATAGTCTTAAAATTTTAGAAGAGGTCCAGCGGGACCGTAAGCTCAGGCCTCGAACACCTTCGCTACAAACGAGGGGTTGGAGCTCTCGTTTGTAGCAAACTTGTGTCATATCTTAACTCTTCCAGTCTATATTTTACCTTAATTTTTGTTAATTTTATATATGAGCAACATACGAAGAAGAAGAAGAAGAGGATGATGATGAGACGACGATGGTGAAGGAGAATATGAAGAAGATGGTGATGAACCTGATGCTAAGGAAGAAAAAGATGATGAAGGTGGTGATGGTAATAAAGATGGCATTCTTAAATATGAACTAAAGTTGTTTTAAAGCATTATTGAACTGCAATAATGAAGAAAACAATTTATTAATGCCATAAAGCAAATTTCCAATACATTTTTATGATAAATACAATTAAGAAAAACGTCATTTAATCATTATTTTGACAATTTTCACGATAAAATAGTAAAATAAAATTGAAAAAGTCTCTCATAAGAGCTAAAGGTATCAGCAGTTAAGTGCAGGAGCATAAAAGTTAATGTTGCAAATAGAATTATCAGATTTACCCATTTGGTTTCTTGATCTCTGGTTGAAAATAGGAAGAAAAATCAAGAACAGAATAAACAAAAGCTTACTTTAATAACTTTTATCGTACTTTCTTTCCTTTGTTTCGATTCACTAATGTCTTATAGCGTTCACGTTGCAAGAAAATTGCACTTTATTTAAGTAGAATTTCATGATAAAATATTTTTTATTATTTTGTATGAGGACGTAACTCTTTTTCGATTGAAATTTACTATAAACTGTTTAAATAAAATAATTTCTAATAAAAAATAAGAGAAATTATAATCATTTATCGCTTAATTTTAATACATTTTAAGTATTTCATGAGAGAAGATGAGGATCATCCATTTAAACGATCCGCATCCTCTCTCATGGAATGCTTAAATGATGCTTCAAAATATGTTTATTTCTAAAATTAAAACGTTATTAACTGATAAATTAATTGATTTTCAATGGAAAATTTAAGAAATTATAATCAATAATAGCTTAATTTTAATATATTTAAAGTATTCTATGAGATAAGCCGGGGATCATCCATTTAAATGATCCGCATGGGATGCTAATTATAGATTTCGCATTCTTTCTAATTTTATGGAATAAATCTATGCAAATTATACATTAAGATTATAGTTTTTTTACAATAACTTTTATAAAAATAATTAATATTTGAATTATATTTTTTATAGTGGAGTTTTTCAAGTGTTCTTCAACATCTAATTTGGCCCAGTTTCCCATAGAAAGTTCGTTTGAGAGTCATTCCTTGTTGATAGATTGCTCACCCGTTGCTTAAATTTAGCATCATCAATGTCCTTAATACGCAAACTTCCCTGCAAAATTACAGAAATTTTTGACAAAAGGCACGGGAGTTATTACGTTTCAAATTGAGTGAATACAATCGTGCCCTCCACCTTAACCTCCATCCATACATACAGGAAAAAAAACCCAAATTGTTTGCATTTTTCGACGTTTGAAGGTCCCCTGAGTCCAAAAATGTAAAAATATTGGGGTGGAGGTCATATTTTTGACAGATTATTACACTTTCCCCCTGTTATAGACCTATATAAGAGCAGGGAAAGTGAAAATTATACAAATCTTTTCTAGTCACGTTTCTAGTATAAAAATCTGTTGTAACACAAAGTATTGTTTATTATATTAAGTGTTTTTAGGTGTTACATTAAGTAGCTAAGCCGTAATTACCTTAAAAGCAATAGCAATGCGGTATATATCTATACATATCCCATTGGGCACGGGAATAAAAACACTCCACCCGTTAAGGTGACACTTGTAGCCACTTAAAGAATTCTAAACTACTTCCCTTCCCTTCTAAAAAAAAATATACTAAAATAATTTAATTTAAAACAGCAACCTTCTGTGGAATCTGTGCGAGTAAATTGTGAGATGAATTTAAAAAAGGGTGCAAACAGATATAAAAATGTACCTTACGTTGTCAGCTATCACTTAGATTTAACCTTAAGGTCGAACACACGACACGCTTATCGATTTTTACCTTACATTTATCGAAAGTGTAAAGGCCACACGTCTGGATTACGAGCGCATTTATGTGAACGTAATACGTATTTAAATGAGAACGGATTGATCATCACGCTCTTCACCCTCTCCCCTTAAAAATGGAAGAATTTATAGGATTTATGTAATAATATTTTAGTATTATAAAAGGGATGGTCGAAAAGATGAGTTGATGTATTTTTGACAAAAAATAAATAAATAAATATAGAGGTAGGAAGGATGTTGGTCTCGGTTTTCTTTCAACCCCCAAAGGCAGATGTTCTGATAGATAAATGGTTGAACTTATTTCGATCGATGGAAAAATACTTAGCTAATGTTTTTTATCCTTTATACACACACTTTATAACGTAATATTTCGTTTTTTGTGTAAATGTTTAAGACATTTTAATGTGATAAAATGTGAAATTTGCGTGTGATGTATGTATTTCTCCACAGGAACTTTATGTGTGTAAATTAATTTTCTTCTTTAGTAACGACTGAGTGAATAAAACCATTGCTAGTCTCGGGTTCACACCTGATTAACGGGATTTTTTTACTAACCTACTAGTGGTTGATGAATGCGTAAAACCACTGAACACCGGTCGCGTGTTCGTATCTCACTAAAAGCGCTGGAGTTTTACACGTGTCTAACACGCAAATAGGGACCAGTTTGCCATAGAAAGTCCTCTTGGAGTCATTCTCCTACGTTGAGTTAACTTATCCCTCCAATCCAATTCGTCTATAGATCGATGATAACATAGAGACGTCTGTACAACCTATATATAAATTAATTATCTTTTATAGGCTCAAACAGGAACTTTATAGGCTCATATAAGCCTATAGAGAATAATTCATTAACATAAACCTTTTATAATTCATAACCTTAGATAGATTAAATTTGCCTGTAGTAAATTGAATAAGCTGTGATTTTAAGTATGTTTGTTCACGTGTTATGTATATTTTTGACCATCATAAAGGTCACTTTTTGGAAAAAAAATTTATCCTTCAATTTTCCATTCTTTTTGGTATAATTAATATATTCTACTCATGATTTATTCATAAATTATAAATACAATTCGCAAATATTCGCTTTGCTTCGATCAGTATTTAACCTTTAACCTTTAACCTGGTGAAAACTTTGAATAAGTCACCAGAAACCTGTAAACAAAGCACTTTTAAGGGTTTAATACTTAATAAATAACCGTAAAAATAATAAAATCCTTTATTAAAGCTGTAATGTGACTTGATGGAACGTGACAAAGTTGACTAAACTTTACTCTTAAAATTCAGAAGCACGTTACTGAAATAACAAGATCTTCACCCCGTTCCATAAATATAAATCATGAATGTATACGTGTTACATAACTTATATTTCGTGACCGTATATTATAAATATTTACTGTAAAGTTATGTCTTTTTATGTGAAATATTTATTAAAAAATCCAGCAGCGAGTTGAGTAACTTTCTTGGCTGTTATGAGATTTTATTTAAAAAATAACTTTTATATTATTAATCATAAGAAATAAAATTGCGTGTGGCGCCATCTGTTATAAAATTTTGTTATAAAATCTTTTCACATTATTAATTATTAATAAAATGACAGAAAGCTTAATTTTGGGGTAGAAATAAGTTTTATAAACAATGGTAATAACGAGTGAAAGAGTTATTAATTCCGATCCCTCACCTGATATGACACATCACCCTTTTATCTCCCCACCTTCTCGACCTTTAACCACCAAAATTTAATAGCATCAATGTCTCTTATCGGTGTCATAGCTAAGGTCATTGGAGCCTAGGTAAGAATCGCTACGCTGATTGCGCCTTCCGGGGTTTGTGTGCCATGCCCTAGCTACGATACTACACTTTATACACAAGCTACAGTGCTAAATTTAGTATCTTAATCATTACCCTATTCTTTATCCCGAAATTAATGTAAAAACTTGTCACTGCGGCAATTTTGGCTTTTTGGTTGCCTGCCAAGATCTTAATTCATGTGAAGTTTGGTTGCCTGAACACTTAAAAAGGACAATATCACACGGCACGTGAGATGCATTACAGAAGATGAACACACTGTTCATCACCTTCAGAATGGTTACTCTTTATAATAGATACTAACGTCTCTTTATAGCACGAGTGTCTTATACTGTACTGTACAAATAAAATATTTGCTGCTTGTAGCGCCAAAGGTGCCACAGCGGTGAGATTTGCTATTAACTGTTTTTATATCTTTCGCATGTCCTAACATGTCACTTGACACTGCTGCGATTGAGTAGACAGCGTTAAATAGGGGTACGTTAATTCATTACATAAAAATTTCTGTTTAGGATCACAAAAAAAAAGAAATTTCTTAGAAATAAAATTATGCAAGTCGGTGTACTCGAGAAATTTTATTAAGAATTTTACAGTCTGGAGTTTTCTTGTTTTATGTAGGTTAATGACCAATCTCCATGCTGCTAAGGAAACAAAAGTGCTGTTAGGTGTTTATTTTTCTTATTTTACAAGAAATAGAAAGAAATATCTCCGTTAGAAAGAAATATATATGCAGTTCGCCATTAATCATCTTCGTTGACGTTAAATAAGGCATTTAGACTTTTGACCTCTTTACTTAAATAGTATTCATAAATAACAACAAAGATAATATTATTTATATTAAATACACTCTACTCCATTAAATTTCTTAAAAGAAAATTTGTGAATTTAATAATAAACAAAATATCCTTTAAAAAACTTCCACTTATCATACTACTACGCGCGATCGTTTATAATTGAGTCCACTTCATATCTAAACTCCTTCACCGAAACTTTTATAAATTAGATAAAATAATTTAGCATCACAAATAACAAAAGAATACTGAGTAAAGTTTATAAAAATTACTTCTAAAACAAAATATCACAGAAAAACCTTTAAACCCAGCAAATACCAAATAAATGTAACTTGATTGTATTTTTAACCGTGTTTATTCAACACTACAAGTTACAGTTTGTTTTTACAAAGTAAACTAAATAAAATATATCGAACAAAATTTAATAGAATTACCACAAATCTGATTAATTTTCAAAATTAAAAGATATTCCATTAATGTACTGTACTTTAAATTATATTTAATTGTTGATGTCATTCAGATTTAAGTAGCAGGTATTAAACGAGATTTAAGAGTATTTTTTTCTATTCCAGCATCACTTATCCTTACTCCCACGTGGCATCTGATGAAGGTGCCACCTTCAAGGTGAG